GGGGAAAAAAACCTATTGTAACACTTTATTAACTGTTAATATTATCTTTCATATATATATAAATGTATGTGTGCACACAAGTGCCGATGCACATACATATGTGTGTAAGAGAGAGAGGGAGAGAAAAGAAGGAGAAAAAGAAAGAGAGAATTGGTAAGCCACTCCAAGCAGGGTTTCTTATTCTTAAGACTTTCAACTCATGACTCATTTTTGTCAGATAAATCTTTCCATGAGAGAATGTGTATAGGTATAGAAAATACACACCCAAATCAAACATTTGGTAACAATTAAGTATAAAGAAATTTATTTTGAAACAACCCTGATACCTAGATAGGAAGGTAAGTAGATAGATAACAGACAGACAGATAGATAGATAGATAGATAGATAGATAGATAGATAGATAGATAGATGTCAACTGATAAAAGCAAATTTTTCTATTTAATTATTTTTCTGTTGGGATGATTGGCCCAGCTGCTAAAGCAAATATGCATATTAATAAGGTAAATGTGCTTATTTTTTACTTATAGAATTAAATCTTAGTTGAATGTTTGATCACAGAAAATGTAGAGTATCTTCAGTGTTCCTCAAGTTGGTGGCCATTTTGACTTTATGACTGTCAATACTAAGATACCTCTTGATATTAATATAGCACCATATGGTGGAAGCACCTCTACAGCCATTTAGAAATTGTTTCAAATTCTGTCTTTACCCCAAGCCAACATCCATCTAATGTTTTTATGAAATTCATCAGCAAATAAAACTGCAAATTTCTGAAATCAAGCATTCTAACATAGTGTAATCCAAAGACATGCTAATTTGCCATTACATGTTGAGAAATAATGGCAGGAAAATATTAAGACTTTGTCTTTTGTAATGAAACTATCATGTTTCTATGGGAGCAGAAAACTTCTGATGTACGGTAAAAAGGACCATAGTTCAGCTGGACATGGTGGCTCCTACCCATAATCCTAAACTTGGGACCCATAATCCTAAACTTCAATCCTAAAGATGAAGGGAGAGTAATCAGAAGTTCAAGGTCATCCTCAGCTATACAGCCGGCCTGGGGTGCCAGGTGTGACCAAAACCAAAAATCAGACAAAAAAAAAAAAAAAACCCAAACCAAAATCCCCACTCCTATAATTCATATCATGCAATAATCTTGAACCTGAGCCAAGATGTTTCAGGTAGCATTTGTTGGTGTGTGACTTGAAGGCATGTGAGGTGCAAAGTGTACATGTGTCCTGTGTATTGAGGACCAAGGCTGCAATGAAGTCAGATGATGCAAGTTCTGCCAGAAATACCTCAGATTCATTAGTGTTGTATTCTAAATTAATTTTTGGTTGACCCACATTCAGAAAAAATTTTTTATACTGTTGTCAATTTTTTTGGACAAACTCTACATTCACCTATGAAACCCCACCTGAGGTTACAAACCACAGTTTCAGACGCTGGGGACCAGGGGATGGATGGCCCTCTCCTGGAGGGGCTCTCCTCCCCCTGAGCCTCTCACCTCAGATGCTGGGGACTAGGGGATGGACGGCCCTCTCCTGGAGGGGCTCTCCTCCCGCTGAGCCTCTCACCTGTGACACAGCTGCATCGCCTCTGCAGCCGCAGTTGCCTCATCCAGCAGCGAGGCGTTGGCCATGTCCAAACCTGTGATGTCAGACACCATGGTCTGGTAGTTGAGTAAACTCTCCAACCGCCCCTGAGACACCTCTGGCTGATACGGCGTGTACTGGGTGACCCTGAGAGGGAAACAGAAGACCGTGTCCAAACTGTGCCTCTCCTATCCAGAGAAGTTCACGAAATCCCTTTGTTTTCAAATTCAATGCCGAAATCTCTTGAGAATTATGTAACACATTGATCAGCAAGATTGGGGCAATCAGTTTGATTGAACTTAAAGTTGTTTAGAAAATCAATGAAGTACACATCTGAGTGTGTCTGTATGGAAGTTTCCAGAAAGGATACACTGAGGTAGAAGACTCAGCCAGAATGTGTGTGGGCAAAGTCCCACCCTGGATGTGGACAGCACCATCCAATAGGTTGGAAGCTTATTGGATTGAAAAAGAAGGCGGGTGGGTTCCTAGCTGCCAGGACACAAACTGCTCTGTCCCCTCACTGATGACAGACTGACTTCTGTGATGAACCAGGTTAATAGCTCAGCAGGCAAAGGTGTTTGCCACTAAGCCTGACAACCCGAGTTCAATCCCTGAGACCCAAATGATAGGAAGCAACTGACTTGGCAAGGAGTCCTCCTACCTCCATGTACATGCTGATGACGCCCCCCAGCACAACGAATACATAAATAAATCCCTGTGCCAAAATAAACCATTCACCCTAAATTACTTATTTAGTCACTGTGGTGATATTTTGTTTGTGCTCTAACAAATAAAGCTTGCCTGGAGATCAGAGTACTTAACCATAGAAGCCAGGCAGTGATGGCACACTTCTAATCCCAGCACTAGGGAGGTGGAGACAGGAAGTGATATGGCAAGAGGCAGAGAGAGGAATATAGGGCGGGAGGAGACAGGAACTCATCCCCTTTTCAGGCTGAGGAGTTGGGGAGGTAAGAAGTGGCTGTAGCTTGCTCCTTTGTCTCTCTGATCTTTTAGCATTTACCTCTATATCTGACTATGTGTTTTTATTATTAAGACTAATTAGAATTTGCATTACAGGTCACAGCAATAAAAAGCCAAATCATGGCATGTTTTCTTTGGGTTTTTATGGGGAGAACCGAACTATTATAGAAACAATATTCTTTGGGCACAACCAGTACCTTTTTCTCCCTCTGCTTTCTTTTTTTTTTTTTTAACCTACTTCATTTTACATGTCTGAATGCTTTGCCTGCGAGTGTGTATGTGAACTACGTGAGTGCCCATGGAGGTCAGAAGAAGTTATCAAATCCCTTGGAACTGGAGTTACAGATAATTGTGAGCCACCATGTGGGTGCTGGTAACCAAATCTGGTTCCTTTGCAAGAGCAACAGTACTCTTAACCACTGAGCCACCCCTTCAGTCCCTTGACATTTTGTTATTATTTTTAAACACATAATCTTGCTATGTAGCTCAGGCTACCCGTCACTCACTCAGTAGATCAGGTTGGCCCTGGTTCTCCTTCCTCAGCCTCTCAAGTTCTAGGATTATAGGCATACACCACCATGCCCAGCTCTCTACACTATTTTTTGTTATATTACTAAAAAAAAAAAAATATATTACTATTTTTTAAAAGATTTATTTATTATGTATACAATGTTCTGCCTGCATGTGTGTCTACAGGCCAGAAGAGGGCACCAGATCTCATTATAGATGGTTATGAGCCACCATGTGGTTGCTAGGAATTGAACTCAGGACCTCTGGAAGAACAGTCAGTGCTCTTAACCTCTGAGCCATCTCTCCAGCCCAGTTATATTACTATTTTAATTATCTTTATTTTCTAATTATAATTATTTAACATATACATGTATTTTATATATGTGCTGTATGTGAATGTGGAGGGCAAGGGTTAAGGCTGGGTGTCTTCCTCAGTTTCTGTCCTGCTTATTTTTTGAGACAGGAACTCTCACTGAAACTGGAGTCCATCAAGCTAGCTCGGACCCATGAGCTCCAGGGATCCGTCTATCTCCTCTTCCTCAGCACAGGAATTGCAGATAAGCACAGTGGCCCTCAGCTTTTACATGGCTGCCAAGGACCTGAACTCAGGTCCTCAGCAAACACTTGACAGATCCTTTTCCTCAGGGCATCCATGGGTTTTATTATAAGCAGGCTCTAAAATCCATGCCTGCCCGCTTTGCTCCCTGTGAACTGTAAGACCCCACATAAACTCTTCTATAAGTCGCCCTGGTCATGGTGCCTTATCACAGCAATAAGAAAAAAAATTAACGAAGACACCAAGCCAAAGAGTTTTAAGTGATTTATTAATGGCTTTGATTTTTATATCCTTTTTATTTTCTCCTGTTCTGGTAATTACACACAGGCTTTGAAAGCATTGTTACGTTGGCTTTACTTAACATAGTTTATGTTTGAAGACAGTCTTAGCTCACAGTACTGTATCAGCACTTTGAAATAATTTTCTCCATCTTTCACTGGTGTAACTGAGTGTGGTGTGTGTGTGTGTGTGTGTGTGTGTGTGTGTGTGTGTGTGTGTGTACAGCAGAACACATTGTTAATTCCCTGAACAGCCTGGATTCGCCATTGTAAAGGCAAATTCTACGTGACTGGTGAACTGGAATGGATGACTCACACAATGAACACACAGGGCAGGCCATTGAAAGGGAACAAGAGAAACAAGGTCACACAAAAGCATAGACAATGGGCACTGGTGATGTCTGACCAGACAAGACCGTCACACACACAGCTCGCTATTAGGAAGACAGATGTGACACTGTTCCTGCCATATGCTTAGACTGACTGCCCAACAGGACACTTTCATTGTGCTCAGAGCCATCATTTGAGATACAGACAGATCGTCAGACATATGCACTCCCCCAGAGGAATATATGCATGGACCAGCTACCCCAACTAATGAATAGGAAAGACTGAACATATCCTCAGGAATAGAATATACTAGGAGAGAGAAGTATTCCCAAAGAATTCAGCATGGAATAAATACTGTAGAAAAAAATGAGTAACAAACTGTGTGACTGTTAAAAGGGGAATTGTGGATGAGGCGAATTCCACCACATGTGCATATTGCTTGCAGTCATTGAAAACAATGCTATCAATGTTCCTAACCTTGAGACGGTGCTCATGATATTAATTTTAAAAGGTAGAGCATTAACTCAAACAAACAACAGGAATAAAAGACCCTAAAAAAAGCAAAGTATGAAATACCTCATTCTTATAAGCTTATAAAAGCAAGCAAATGAACCAAAATGTAAACAGCGATTTTCCTCGGGATGATCTTTTTCTTTTCCCCAACCCATCAGACCAACAGCAGCTGAGCTTTGTATTGAATGTTAACAAAAGAGGTTTAGTCAAAAAGCCCAAAGCCCGTGTCATTTAAAAATATGACATGCTTCTTAATTTGTGTGTCATCTTTGCACAGGCGCCATGCAAATCTTCTCTGTATAATTCTAGTTTTAGTATCTGTGCTGCAGAGGTGAGGGCTGTGTGGTGATACTAAAACCGATATTTAATTTATTATTGCATATCCCAAATGTCAGAGACAACAGCTACGATTTATTAACTAACTTCTCTGTGTAGGAATTCTGTATTACCCTTTTTTGTGTGAGCATGTTAAGCATGTTCATTATAATTGGTTGGAAAAGCAAAAATACCCCAAATCCCCAAACTTCAAGATAACTTGTAAGAAGCAGAATTACAATCTGTGTGAGGTCTTATTTTTTTCTTCAGTTAACATTCCATGGACAATTTCTTTCTTGTTTGAGTTTTTTTGTTTTGTTTTGTTTTGTTTTGTTTTTAGAAAGGGTCTCACTGTGTAGTTCTGGCTGGCCTTGAGCTGTCTATTGTGGACTAGGCTGGCTTCCAACTCAGAGATTAAATTCAAAGAGCTAAGATTAAAGGCATGCTTCACCACACCCAGCTGCACCTAATTTTTTTTTCCCTCTGGGACAGGGTTTCTCTGTGTAGCCCTGGCTGTCCTCAGACTCACAGAGATCAGCCTGCCTCTGCCTCCCAAGTGCTGAGATTAAAGGTGTGTGCCACCACCGCCCAGCCTAATTCCTTTTAAAGAGGAAAGACAGTAGTTATCTGGAACAGATGTATGAGGGGGATGGGGAAATACCTTGTTAAGGGGGACACACTGTCAAGATTAGTGGCAGGTTATATGAGGTCTACACAAACAAGCATAAACACATGCAAAGTTTTTTAAGTTAAAAAAAAAAATAAAACAAAACAGCTACCAAAATGTTTTTGATTCAGAAGCATGTGCAGTCCTCCTTACAGCTGTTGTTCTTGAATAGCAGTGGGCAGCAGCTGACACTTCCATAGAAAGTTCCAGGCCAGCTAGGGCTAGAGAATGAGATGCTAGAAAGATCAGGTGTGACGGCACATGCTGTAATCACAGCACTTGGGAGGCTGAGGCAGGGGGATTAAAAGTTAGAGGCTACCTCGACTAGAAGGCAAGAACCCCATCTCAAAAGAGAGAGAAGGAAGCAAGGAAGGAAAGAAGGAAGGAAG